ATCACAAATGCTGACATGGTTTTATGTTTACGCGGCGCGATGCAATGCAACGCAACGCGTAAAAGGACAGTATAAGTCATTATAATCAGTAATTATGCCCCCATGTTTTTGTCTCGTCGCACTGGGACACAGCATCACAATATGATAAGGGGTGTAACATTTCCGTCACATGCTTGAGGTATTCGGCCAATCACAATGCACTGGATAGCTGGCCAATCACAGCACACCTCGCTTTTTCAGACCGATGAGCTTTGTAAAAATCGATGCGTTTCAGAAAGGCGGGGCATAGAGGAGAAACAATAATGTACAGTATGTGGAAAATAATGTGTTTTTTGAACCTTAAACCACATAAACACATTTCATTACACCAAATACACAAAATAATGTTCTTTTTAGCAACATCATATAACCCCTTTAATATGTATAATACATCCATGTGTATTTATATAAATATTAATGATCAATTTCACTTAATCTAACCTGTCAAATTCAAAAGCCCTAAATTAAATGATAAATGCATGTTGCGATGTTTAATACGAAAAGAAACATATTTTGGTTATACTGAATGTGTCCTTTTTTCTTATTTAATCCATATTCATGATAGTTCAATTGTAGCTGTCGTGACTGGACTGGAATTGGGAGCTGCTCTGTGCTAACCTACTTTGCATTCACTCTTTTTTACTCTTTTGTGCTTTGCCATCAGGACGAGTCTTTCTGAAACATTTACGGAAAAGGCAACGGCATGTTTTAATGAAGAGGAATGTGATCAGTGCAACGATTGAGAGTAAGAAGGCCACTACATCCAGGCAGTGGTACTGATACCAGCTCAGATCATGTGCCTGAACTCGTAGATGTTTAGCTCCTTTATGCCGCATCACAAATTCGATCCAGTAAACTGCCTGGTCCAGAGGCTTCATTGGCTGATCATGGTGGATTCTGGACAGTCTCATGATGCTCTCCTTGTACCTTATTAGAGAAGAAATGGAAGCGCTGCTTAACACAAGACAAGCTCTACAAAAGCACAAACGTTTCTAAATATATAATGTGACAAGCCATACTTTGAACTAGAGATTTTTTCTATAGCAAGCAGGAATAATGTGAATACTGACTGTGGCCGTTGTAATCAAATGGCCAAAAAGAAAACATTTATATACTCTAGTCCAGTGATTCTCAAACCTGTCCTGGAGTACCCCCAGCCCTGAACATTTTGTATGTCTCCCTCATCTATCACACCTGATTCAACTCATCAGCTCATTAGTGGAAACGGCAAGACCTGAAGTGGGTGTGTCAGATGTAGGGAGACGTACAAAATGTGCAGTGCTGGGGGTACTTCATGGAGAGGTTTGAGAACCCTTGCTCTAGTCTAATGTACAGTTCTCAAATAAATTAAGGGAACACTTAAATCACACATTGGATCGCGAACTAAATTTTCCAGTTGAAAATCTTGACTTTTATACATGTACAGTGGGTATAGAAAAGAATCAGCCCCCTTTAAAATAATCACATTTTGTTGCTTTGCAGCCTGAAACGAAGACGGACAAAGTTTTTGTTTTATCCAGCTGTATTTACTCAGTGCTACTTATAACATCCAAGTGAAAGACATAACACTCACATGTCAGAAAAAACCCCCCCAGAATCACCGAGTTGGAAAAAGCATCACCCCCCTCTTAAAAATGACTTGTAAACTCAATCAGGTGTAGCTCATCACCTTCTCAATGGCACACAAAGCCATTTGACTTTCAACTTTGATCAGCTGTGGTCATTTCGATTAGCTCTGCATGAAAAGAGCTTCCCTGGAGCATTTCAGTCCTTGGTAGTGCAACTGAAGCAAACAATCAGCTATGGGTGGCAAGGCACTGTCAAAAGATCTCCGGGATAAAGTTGTGGACAGGCACAAGTCAGGAGATGGAAACAAAAACATTACAAAGGCTTTGTAAATGCCTACAAGCACAGTGAAGTCTATTATTAAGAAGTGGAAGGTATTTGATACAACAGAGACCCTCCCTGGATCAGGACGTCTCTCCAAACTAGATAAAAAAGCTGGAGGAAACTGGTCAGAGAGGCGACCAAGAGCCCTACAGCAACTCTGAAGCAGCTGCAGGAGTTTATGACAAAGAGTGGTCATTGTGTGCATGTGACAACAATATCACAAATTCTCCACAAATGTGGCTTGTATGGGAGGATTGCAAGAAAAAAGCCACTCCTCAAGAAAGGCCACATGCAGTCAGACTGAGCTTTGCCAAAACACACCTTGAAGATTCTGAGGCAGATGAGACTAAAATTGAATTATTTGGCCTCAACACCAAACGATATGTCTGGCAGAAATCCAATCCAGCTCACCATCCATATAACAGCATTCCTCCAGTAAAGCATGGAGGTGGTGATGTCCTGTTCAGGGGTGTTTCTTTGCAGCAGAGACTGGAGCTCTTGTCAGGATAGAAGGAAACATGGATGGGGCAAAATACTGTCAAATTATTGAGATTTGCTGCCCTCTGCCAGAAAGTTGTCAATGGGAAGAAAGTTTAACCTCCAACATGACAATGAGCCAAAGCACACAGCAAAACTGAGCACACAGTGGTTGAAGGAGAAAAAGCTGAATGTCCTTGCATGGCCTCGTCAGAGCCCAGACTTAAACCCCACTGAAAATCTGTGGAATGACTTGAAGACTGCAGTCCACAAACGCTCACCATCAAACTGAACTGAACTTGAGCAATTCTGCAAAGAAGAGTCGACAAATATTACAAAGTCTAGATGTGCAAACTTAGTAGAGACAAATCCCAATAGACTAAAGGCTGTAATTAAAGCAAAAGGTGGTTCAACAAAATACTGACACAAGGGGGTGATCCTTTTCCCAACTCAGTGATTCAGGTTTTTTTTTCTGACATGGTGTTAAATCTTTCAATTGGATGTTATAGGTTGCACTGAGTAAATAGAGCTGGATAAAACAAAAAATGTGTGCATCTTCATTTCAGGCTGCAAAGCAACAAAATGTGATTATTTTAAATGGGGCTGATTCTTTTCTATACCCACTGTATGAAATTCATTGAGAACTAAATTATGTGACAATGTTCAGTGCAAACCAAAATCATCGACTCTGTGAGGGCTGGATTCAAAATCACACCGAAAATCGAAGCAACTCATAATGTAAGCCCGTAGTGTGTATGGCCCCCATGTGCCCGTATGCACTCCCGACAATGTCTAGGCATGCCCCTGATGAGATGGTGAATCTCCTGCCAGACCTGGATTAGGGCATCACTGAGCTCCTGGACAGTCTATGGTGCCAAATGAAGGCTTCGGATGCTCCAATTTATAATGTCCCAGGGGTTCTCAATTGGATTCAGGTCTAGGGAACATGAGGGCGTCAATGCCTTTGTCATCCAAAAACTGCCTACACACTCTGGCCACATGAGGCCGGTCATTGTCATGATCCAGGAGGAACCCAGGGCCCATTGCACTAATGTAACATCTGACAATGGCTCTGAGGATTTCATCCCAGCACCTAACAGCAGTGAGGGTAACGTCGGCTAGCACGTGGAGGTCTTGTGACCCTCCAAGGATATTCCTGTCACATGTGCTCAGTGTGAACCTGCTCTCATCCGTGAAGTGAATGTGGCACCAACGGTGGACCTGCCAATTCTGGTGTTCTCTGGCAAATGCCAATCGAGCTGCACGGTGCTGGGCTATGAGCACAGGTCTCAATACAGGGCGCCGGGCTCTCATGCCACCCTCATGGAGTCTCTTTCTAACAGTTTATTCAGAAACATGCACACCAGAAGCATTTTGTATTGCTCTGGCAGTGCTCCTCCTGTTCCTCCTTGCACAAAAGAGCAAATGCCAGTCCTGCTACTGGTCTGTTTCCCTTCTACAGCCCTGTCCAACTCTCCTCTTGTAAAGGCCCGTCTCCCATGCTCTTGAGACTGTGAAGGAAGAAACACCAAATGGATGTGCCATCCTGGAGGAGCTAGATTACCTGTGTAACCTGATTGGGTTGCAGGTACTGCCTCACGCTACAAGGACTCTAAAAAAACACAAAACTAGAGACAAATCAGTCAGGAAGGATTACGAGAGAGCAATTGTCTATCAGCAGTAAATCTCCATCCGAAGGCCAGAGGGCGCTCTCGCGCTGAAACTCCAAATACGCCTCGCAGAAGAAACCCAGAAAATGCCTATGGCTGCAGCTGAATAAACAGAAGATACAACTGCTTTCATTGATTCAACGTGAATAATAAACACACGACTACGGCAATATACAGTTTATCGGAGTTCTTATTATTATAATTTTCATTAAAATAAAGTATATTTATAATGCAATGCCTTTATCACTGCTTAAATACTATGAAATATGTTGCGTGCCTTATTCTGTGTAAGAAGCCACATCATCTCACAGGAGGATTTATTTCAAACACTCGACTGACGTTATGAAGTGAGTTTGGAGTAAAAATATGTTATTAAATGTGGTATTTTCACATGCTTTCAGATGGAGCAGCATTTACTTCACAGCCGTAGTGCACTGAGAAGCTATGCAAACAGCTGTCATTATCGCGAACGATTTCTTCGATTTCAGAATCGCGCAATAAAATCGTCTGCGATTTTTTTGCGCAACTTGTCAGTGAACTACGGCTATGTGTAGTAAATTCTGCTCCATCTGAAAGCACGTGATGATGATTTCCTGCTGATTACAGAACCGGCTTTACTAACAAAATGCACATAACAATCGCATTCGATTAATCGTGCAGCCCTAGTGGCCACTACCCGCAAAACCATTCACTTTTCAGGGTTTTATTGCTGTTGTCTTTCCAGTGCACCTGTTGTCACTTTCATTTGCACCAAAGCAGGCGAAACTGATTGACAATCAGTTACGCTTCTTAACTGGAAAAATGTATATCCCTGAAGTTTAACTGATGTGGTCTTATACAGTGATGATTAAGTGTTCCCTTTATTTTTTTGAGCAGTGTATACATTATTCCCCTTGAGGTTAAATTGATAATTTCAGTGTTTTTTTTCTCCCAAAATCCAATAGTAATACCCAACTATTTTCCTTCCTGTCTGTAGTCCCCTCACTGAAAAACACCACTTTAGGAGAACTGAGCTTATTTCTGGAGCTTACTTTTTATTAAATGGAGAACTAAGCTTCAAATTTTTCAGATTTATGAAACTTATGACTTAACTCACGATGGATTATTTACGACAGTCTTGAGAGCATCCACCAGGTCTTTGGACTGCATTGTGTTGATATCAAGAACTACAGCAGCTCCTTTGGTTTTCATGTGCATTAGATTATCAGGCTGGTCACCCCACAGTGGCAAGCCCACCATTGGGACACCATGATAAATAGCCTCATACAGTCCATTTGTCCCACCGTGGGTAATGAAGGCCTTTGTTTTTGGATGACCTATCAGATAAAATAAAGTCTGAGTCTATCTGACATCAATTAATGGTCTTTATGTATAATAATGAGCACACATAACAACACTTTCCTTACCAAGCAAATCATTCTGTGGGATCCAGTCATAGAGTTTTGTATTGGAGGCGAGAGTTTCTGGTGTTTTCCCATTATAACGCCAAACAACCTGTGCAAATACACGTATAGAAAACTTATTAACAGTTGCTCTAGAACACTGAGCATATGAACACTGCAACAGGTTTATAGAAAAGTTAGGTTCTGTAAAAACTGTATTTATTTTTCCTATAGAGAGATGAGTTTTTAATAATAACATATACCGGTAAACCTTTTAAGACACACTTACAGTCCTGGGTCTTATTGATCAACACACATACATAGAGCACATCAAATATGATAAACAGACAAGCTCAAACATGCTTGCGTGATACGTGAAAAACAGTGTGGTTTCTTCTCGCGTGTAATGCGAGTACGGTTGAGCTGCCATTGACCATATTTGATCTGCTCTATGTATGTGCATTGATTAATGTTTATATGTGAATAAAAGCCTGATTTAAATCGGTTCATCGTGTTTCACCGTGTCTCTTCAAAACACTTAAACTGCTTGATTCGTATGGATTGCTTTTGTGATGAACTTTTTGAAGCTTGAAAATTTTGGTGGAATGAACTTCAAATGGAGGGGCAGAAATCTCAGGTTTCATTAAAAATATCTTCATTTGCATTTCAAAGATGAAAAAAAAAATCTTATGGGTTTGGAAGGACATGAGGCTGAGTAATTGATGACATTTTCTTTTGGGTGAACTATTTGTAATTCACAATGATTAGTAGTGTATTGCCTCATAAAATAGATCAGAAAATATATTAAGTACATGTTTTTTTTTAGAATTTGTGATTTAAATCTCTATAGACAAAAACTAATGGAAATTTTTTTTCCAGAACTAAGGCAGCTAAAAAGTGAGTGATTACTGTTCTTTTGCTATAAAAAGGTAGTTACACACCTTTTGTGGGATCTGGCCAAGAGCTGAAGCAATAGTGTTTGCTCTTTCCAATGTCAGGTTGCCCAGCATGGAACCCAGTGAGAAGACAACGATGCCATGATCTCCTGAGCTCTGAACAAACTCCTCCAGTTCCTAAAAGACAAACAAATGAAAAACGAAAGCAAGACATGAATTGGCAGTCTTAAGTGACATAAAACTGAAATGATTTTCCATCAGAAACGTCATGTCAAAATGTGCCATGTGCAGTTTACAAAATGGGAGTGACACCACAAATCCAGTGCATCTTTTGAGGTCAACGGCGCCAAATCAGATCCTTTTCCATTCATACATCCACTGGCATGAAGTTACAATGTTACTTGTTCCATTCGAGTAAGGATTCCTTTTATGAATGATGCATGCTTTGATGCAAAAACATGTAAAATATTCAAGAATATTCAAGAAAAGTATATACTGGTATTTCAAAATAATATATGGCATTACCTTTGACAGAGGCTTGGCGGGTTTGCAGTGTAGTCCTCCAACAAATTTAAAATTAGGCAGGAGTGGGCGTGGATACTCAAAATCCCAGTAAGTTCTAATCAACCAGATGTCGGTTTTTCCAATGGTCTCACACATTGTTGTGGGTTTGCCTGTGACATACGGAGATATAGTGCAACTCAGTTAATGCACAGTGGGTCAAGTGCTCAAACATTTAGCTTTCTTCTGCTTTATCTACAGCCTTCTGATCTCTTTACATACACAATATACAATACACCATAAAGATATTCCAAGTAGACAGACACTACAAGGGCGTCATGACACAAAAAGTGCAAAAACCCAGAGCTGTTGGCGCACTACATATTATTATTATTATTTAAGTTTTCACTGTAATAATTACTAAGATATTCTGAATTATGACAACAGCTAGATCATGCATTAAAGCCTAGATTTAAAAAATAATTACCCAATATTTCAGTGTAGAGCTTATCTGCAGTAAACTTCATGCTCAATGGAAATATAGTCGTATGTATGATATAGAGGAGCATGTTTTCAACTCTCTCTATGAAGCTCATACGATCAGTGAGATAATCTCGCAAAGCGACCGCAGGAACGTAGGACGGCGGCGCAGGCATCTGACCGCAAAGCCGCTCTGCTATGTACGCGAACGTTGCGCGCATCGAGAGGACGTGCGGGATATTCAGCTTCTGTGCCATCAAGTCAGGGAATGGCATCATCGGATCAGATAAAAGCACATCATAATGAGATTCCCGAAGCGTGTGTAAAAGATCCTCATGAAACATGCCCTTGGATATATCAGTAAGGAACGCCATATAGTTGGAAATCACTCGCCAGACCATGAAGTCTCCCTTGTATTTGGTGGCTGTGTCATTCGTCCCGAGATGAATCATATCTCTCAACACAGCATTGGCCTCTTCTTTCTTCGTGTTGACTTTATACACAATGAAATCGAAGCGCTCCTTCCGTGTGTGCGGTACAGTAGGTGATGAAGAACTGACCAGAACCGTCACACTGTGGTTGCGATCGACCAGCGCGTCAATGATCGCACGCATGTTGTGCCAGTGACTGTACTCGCCTGGTAACACCAAAACCTTGCCAGCATGACCAGCCTCCACTCCACACAGCAGTACAAACACAAATAAAGTCCCAGAAACCATGATGAAATGTTTCTGCTTCTGGAAGTGCAGTGTGATCTGGTGGTAAACTGTGTATAGGCTATGTGCACAACAGGATTTGGGCAAAGGTCGCGTTGCATTATTGCTTTGTCCTCAATCCACCTTTCTACTACACCCCATGACGCTTTGCACCAGAGTAACTTCTGTCAAACTGTAAACAACTAGTGTCGCCAAACTAATATTCAGGGGAAGTTCTTCTTCTTCTTCTGTGGGTTTATTGGCGAGTTGCATACCAGCTTTTAGGTGCATATCGCCACCTCCTGTGCTGGAGTGTGAAGTTGTTCTAGTACACCCCCAAAACAAAATCAAGACTTTGTAAAAGAGCATAATAGGATCCCTTTAAGATCACCATTTTTAATGTATTTTAAAACAGCTTTTATCATTTTTCCTGATCCTTGATTTGTATTTAATAAATTTCTGATTGTAAATTCTTTGCATCCCATGTTGTAGAGTTCTCTTATTAATTCATTCCTTTCCTGCTCATAGAGGACAAATTAATAACACATGTTGTACTGTTTCCTTTACTTGGCATGTTTCACATAATCCTGTACTATGTTTACCTATTATATAAAGAGTCGAATTAAGTTTAGTATGTCCCATTCTTAGTCTTGCTAAAATAACCTGATCTTCTCTACTGAAACTATATAGCCATTTACTTTTTCTAATACTGTTTTGTATATTATAAAGATGCCTTCCTGTAATACAAATATTCCACTTTCCTTGCCACTTTTGATTGCATGCTTCTTTAACTATACTTTTTCCTTCCATCTTACTTAATGAGACTCCGAGATTAGGAGAGTTCAGTTTAAGTGCTTCTTTTGCCATTTTATCAGCTTTTTCATTTCCTGGTATATCAACATGTGCTGGTACCCAAACAAAATTCACTATTATTCCTGCTTGTCTTAGTCTATATAATATATTCATTATTTCTATGAATATATCATTTCTAACTGATTGGAATGTTTGAAGACTAATAAGTGATGCCATTGAATCAGAACATATCAGAACTTTGTTAGGCGTTACTTCCTCTACCCAACAGAGTGCCATCTGAATTGCTACCATTTCAGCAGTGTACACCTGAAGTTCCATCTGTTAATCTCCCACAGTTTCCTAACTTTAAATTCTGGAACATAAAATGCTGCTCCAGTACGCACCAGACAGCCAGCTCTTTAACCTCCTGACTGTAAGCAGACTCTAATTCTAAAAGCAGACTCTGTAAGCAGACTCATATTCTAATGCATAATTCTTAATATCAAAGATGTTCTGTCCTTTTTGAATAATATCATGAATTTGTAAATCCACCTCTGTTTGCCTGAAAAACCAAGGAGGAATTGGAGAAATTGTAACCATTGTTGAAAAAGTTATATTATTTATTGACATCTCTGAGGCACACTCCTTTGCTTTCCAGGCAAAACTTGATCCAGCTAAGTTTGTTGTCTCCCAACTTTCCTCTAATATAGATTTTGATGGATGACCTGTTTTATGCCCTTGTAAATTGATCCAGTATGCGACAGATAGTTTTTGACGTCTTAAGTCTAGTGAGGACTCTCCTGTTTCAACTTGCATTGCTGAGATTGGAGTAGTTTTAACTGCACCTTTAATACATCTCAGTGCTCGTGCTTGGATTAAATCTAACCTCTTAAGCATACTGCTTGATGCAGATCCATATACAATACACCCATAATCTAAAACAGAGCTTAAAAGTGCACAATAAATAGTGACCATTGACTGTTTATCTGCCCCCCATTCTTGGCCTACTAGACACCTCATTAGATTTAATGCTTTATTGCATTTCTGCTCTATATATTTAACATGAATTTTCCACGTTAATTTAGAGTCAAACCATACACTGAAAAAAAATGCTACTAAATTTTTTTAAGGTAAGTGGTCACAAACAATTTATTTTAGCTAAATTTAATAAAAAAAATATGTTGAAAGTTAGTCAAATAAATGTGTTTATTTAAATGTAGCTAAAATAAATTGATTGCAACCATTTACCTTAAAAAAAATTTGTAAATTCTATGAATCATTTTTTTCAGTGTATGCCCAAATATTTGAACTTCGTTACCCTTTCTAATGGCTGTTTATATAAATATAGTTTAATATTTTCTTCAATCCTTTTTTTTGTAAAAAATTGAAAACATGTTTTAGTTATAGAGAATCTATATCCCCATTCCACTGACCATTTTTCTACAACCTCTATAGTTTCCTGGATTTTTTCCACAATATATTTGACATTCCTTCCTCTCTTCCACAATACTCCATCATCTGCGTATAATGCTGTTTTAATTCCTGGATGAATTCCTTCAAACACATCATTAATCATAATATGAAATAAAACCGGTCTTATAGCACTACCCTGAGGTGTTCCATTTTCGACACTCACCATCTGAGATAATGTATTACCCACTTTGACTTGAATTGATCGACCAAATAAGAAACTTAAAACCCAATTATAAAATCTACCTTCAATTCTTATTCTCTGCAACTTTAATAACAATCCTTCTCTCCACATCATATCGTATGCCTTTTTTTCAGTATCTAAAAAGACTCCAACTAACACCTCCTTCATTGATAACGCTTTCTTTATATCAGTTTCTAGTCTTATTAATGCATCTAACGTAGATCTACCAGGTCGAAAGCCAAACTGATAAGCTGCTATTAATCATTTGCTTTCTAAGACATACTGTAAACGATTAATAATCATCTTCTCCATCACTTTGCATAAGTTGGATGTCAGAGCAATCGGTCTATAATTTCCGGCTTTTGAAGAATCTTTTCCTGGTTTAAGAATAGGAACTATGATTGCTTGTTTCCAGGATGAAGGCAGTTGTCCTTCCATCCATATTTTATTAAAGAAATCCAATAATATTTTAAGTAATACTTCATCCATAAGTTTAATCATCTTATAGCAAATTTGGTATGCTAACATTTCAGCTTTTTCCATTTCAGTCACTGCTGTTTTCTCTTCATCTACTAAAGCTGGTATATTTTGAGATCTATAAACTCCAACCATCTTTTTAAGGACATTCCAAACTTCTCCTACCTGAGTTTCCCTTCCTATTGTAGTGCAAAATGTTTGCCAATATTTCCTTTTAGCTTGCTTAATTATCTTCCTTGCCTCTGCCCTTTTTCTCTGATATATTAAAGTTGTAGGAATTAATGTTTTCCTTAGCTCCCTAAATGCCTTATTCCTTTCTTTAACTGCTTTAGTGCAGTCTTCATTCCACCAAGGTACAATCCTGATTCTGCCTTTACCCTCTGATTTAGGTATGGATTCTTCAGCTGCTTTAATAATAATTGAATTTAATCTAGTACAACATGTGTCTATAGGGCTTTTCGCACCGCTTTAGTTCCAGAACTAAATGTACAGTACTAAAGTACTGGGACGATTTTGCGCGAACTATTTCCCAGTACTATTTAAAGGGTTGCATTCGCACCGAGAGTGTGTACTGATGCTGCGTTCAAGTCCTCCTGGGACGTTCGTGCTTACGAGTTGACAAGTCGTAATTACGACGTCAGGTGCGTTCAAGTCAGTTTAGTCGGCACAAGATGGCGGTGTACCTTCTTTTAATAAATTACAAGAAAATACAACAGGGTCTGTTAACTCTGCTTATAGAAAATGAAGAGCAAGAATTCGCATCAGGTGTGTTTTGCGTTTTTAAAAAGTAATGATAGCATTTTTTTTACTTGGATTTAATTAACTAGTTACTAGCGTAACTAGCGTAACAAGAACATGACCAATTTAAGTTTATAGGACAACTAAACTATCAATTTAAACAAAAATTTACTGTCAACTACAGACGTTGCATCCATCGATTCCGCCATGTTTCTCATTGACACGCCCCCAACTCGGAAACTCGGGGCTTAAAGAAAATTTCGAGTTTCCCACTCATAATAACGACTTTGTGGTGGCGTTCATGTGCGTTCTACTCGTAAATGCGATCTATCCGACATGACTTGAACGCACCATAAGAAGTGACGTAAGCCGGTCGACAGCGTCGTCATTTGTGCGCGGTGTTCAACAACAGAAACAAAGAAGAACAACATTAACAACAGGAGGATGGAGGATGCTGTGATCGGAGCTGTGTTTTCATTCCAAACTTCTCCTACCTGAGTTTCCCTTCCTATTGTTGTGCAATTCTGCCTTTACCCTCTGATTTAGGTATGGATTCTTCAGCTGCTTTAATAATAATTGAATTTAATCTAGTACAACATGTGTCTATATCATCTTCAGTACTAAATTTCGCCAATTCATTAGTGCATAATTTGTTACATTTATCCCAATCAGCTTTAACAAATCTCCATCTAGTTTGCTTTGTACTAGTTTGTTTATATATTTCCATACCAATATTACATGTTATCGGAAAATGATCACTTCCTAATGTTGTATGCTCTAAAACTTCCCATTTACACTTCAAAGCTATATTTCCAGGAACTAATGTTAGGTCTAAACATGCAGTGGATGAATCCCTTATATTGAATCTAGTGCCCTTCCCATCATTTAAACATACTAACCCTTGTTCTTCCATAAACTCTTACTACCCTTCCATTACTATCTGTGTGTAAACTTCCCCAAAGTGGATTATGAGAATTAAAATCCCCACACCATATCAAATTATCCCCAGCCTTGTTTCTTATTATATTTAATTCATCTAGTGATAACTCCTTGCATGGATTATAAAAGTTTATCACCTTTATTCCCCCTTCACTTGTCCACACCTCTACAACAACACATTCACTTTGAGTATCTAATACTATTTCTCTAAAAGCTACCCCCTCATTCACAAAGGTTCCACATCCCCCACCACTTGCTCCAATTCGGTCCTTCCTGACCGATATGTACCCAGGAATGGTAAAATTTAATTGTGAATTAAGCCAAGCCTCTTGAACGCAGATAATGTCTGGTACCACTATTAACTGATGTACAAATGTTTTAAATTCTTGGCCATTCGCAATTAAACTTCGAGCATTCCATTGTATTATTTTCATTTGATAGTTTTACTTCTTTGACTACCTGACTAGTCACTTGTCCCCGTAGTTCCTTCAGATTGTCCAAGTAATATTTGGATCTGATCTACTGAAATTTCATTAATATCCAAATGTCGAGCAGCTGCAGATACTATGATTTTCAGTTTTTCAGTTCTTTTGGTTGTTTGCGCTGTGCAATTTATTACTTCTGCTACAA